GGCATGTGGTGCTGGGGGATTGAACCGCGGTCCCTGTGCTTTGCCAAGCTTGTTCCAAGTAGGTGCTTTAGACCACTGAGCCATCTCCCCAGCCCCGGTTTTTTTTTTTTTTTTTTTTTTGTTTGTTTGTTTGTTTTATTTTTCACTCTCCTATTTCTGCCTTCCAACATGCTGGGATTATAGGTGTGTGCCATCACATGGATTTTTTTTTCAGATTTATTTCTTTGTTTATTTGTTTTTTTCAGTCAGGATCTTGCTCTGTAGTTTAGACTGGTCTTGAACTCATAGTGATTCTCCTGCCTCAGCCTCCTGAATTCTGGGATTAAAGGCATGTACCATGCCTACATGTGTGGGTTCTATATCTTATTTTTGGGTCTGTAGTTGCATGAGATGATTGCTGACGTCCAGCCTAGCTCTACCATCTGGTATGTTATATTTAGCAAGAAATATTAAAGCTGGGAAACCCAATTCGGCTCTTATTTTGCTTTTCATCTTGTCCTGTTTTTGATGGCAGCCTACTAAAAGTTGGCTAACGTAAGACTTATGGATCGTCTGTAGATTCCAATTATCCAAGTTGTTTTGTTTTGTTTGAGACAGAGTCCTACTATGTAGCCCAGGATGGCCTTGAATTTTCAAGCTTTCTACTTGGGCCTCCTGAGTTCTGGCATTATATATGTGCAATACCATTTTTTTGTGTGTGTGTGTTTGTTTGTTTTTGTGGTGTGATCTCACTATGCTGCCTGGGCTGACTTTGAACTCTCGGGCTCAAGAGTTCCTTTGCTTCACCTTCCTTGAGTAGCTGGCATAGCCCTGTGCCACTTGAGCCTGGCTTTTTTTTTTTTTATCTTTTTTTTTTATTTTAGGGAAGGGTATACAGGGTGTTCAGGGTCTCACTACTAGATCGGACTCATAGTGATCCGCCTGTTTACAGCCTCCCAAGAGCTGGTATTACAGGCATGTGCCACCATGCCCAGTCTCAATTGTGGTCTCAGTGTACCCTGGGAGGCCCGGGGCACAGCAGACCTGGGAATTGAACCCCTGGCCCCTGCGCCTGCTTGCAGATGCTTTAATCCATTGAGCTATTTGGCCAGCCCTTTAGCCTGGCTTTTGAGGCTCTGGCTTTCTATCATTGTTTGAATTGCTCCTGAATATACACTTACCTTGCTGAGGAGTATAACTGATTTTTTTTTTAATGTGTGTATGTGGAACCAGGAATTGAACTCAGGCCCTTGTGCTTGCCAGGCAAGTGCTTATTCTACTGAGCCATCTCCCCAGCCCCTATAACTGATTTTAATGAAGTGTCTGAGTAACAGAGAACATTACTGTCTTCTCCGACTGGTAGTAATCCTCCTGTTTTCAGCCTCCCCAGCGCTGGGATTACAGGTGTGGGGCACCATGCCTGCTAGGTCTCCATAGCTGGCTCAGTGTGACCAGGAGTGGGGCTGGAACAGCATATGGTGCCAGGGATGAGCTCTGGTCCCTGCACTGGCCTAAGCAGGTGCTTAGTCCACTGAGGTATCTCACCAGCCCTGTACTTTGCCTTTTAGCTGGGAATCTGAGATGCTTTTGAGCCAGAATTAGTACCTTCAGACTCTGACTTCTGTTCTCCTTAGCCCATCTTTACTCCCTAGGTGTGCTGCTCCCCAGTGCCCACAGCATAAGTAATAACAAACATGCTTCAGATTTTTGTATGTGCGAGACAGTTTTAAATGCATTTCTCTCACAGGAGGCCTGGGGATAGAACCTGAGCTGGCCCTGCCCCAGCTCCTGTGCTGGCCCTGCCCCCGGGGCACACTGAGACTGAAATTGAGACTGGGCATGGTGGCACATGCCTGTAATACCAGCTCTTGGGAGGCTGTAAACAGGCGGATCACTATGAGGCTGATCAAGTAGTGAGACCCTGAACACCCTGTAGACCTTTCCCTAAAATACAAAAAAAAAAAAAAAAAAAGCATTTCTCATTTGAATCTCAAAACTTTCTTTTTTTTTTTTTTTCGTGGAACCAGGGATTGAACTCAGGCCCTCACGCTTGCCAGGGAAGCGCTTATTCCACTGAGCCATCTCCTCAGCCCCATCAAAACCTTCTTATTAAGTAGATAAAATGCTGTTCAATATCCTGACCTGGTAATATTCATGCGTTTGTATACAGTAATTGCTTTCCCTTGAATATGATTTGCCTCTGATAAAGAAGATACATTAAAACTTAGGGGATGTTACCTCTGTGATTGGAATACCAAATACTGTCGCTTCTGTTTTGCTAGTAGACGGTACTGCCTTACTGGTTCACATGTTTTCATGAAACAAGCTGCCATGTTAGAGAGGCACACAGAATAAGGAGCTGAGGCAATGAGTCCAACCGCCCTAGATGAATTGGGTCTTGCCAAGAATTACATGAATGAGCTTGGAAGTGGATTGTTCCCTAGTCAAACTGGCACTTTTTTTTTTTTTTTTTTTGGCGAAACCGGGGATTGAACTCAGGCCCTTGCGCTTGCCAGGGAAGCGCTTATTCCACTGAGCCATCTCCCCAGCCCCTAAACTGGCACTTTGAAGTGCAGCTTGTGACAAACTCTGAACCAGAGGATCCAGTTCAAGTGTGTTCAGACTCTTGACCCACAGAAGCTGAGATAAGCAATGTCGTTTTAAGCTCCTAAGTTTTAGGGTAATATTACATTGGCAATAGCTAATACACTAGATAAATCTAGTTGGCTCCAAGTTCATGCTCTTCACAGTTAATACAGTAGGTTGTTTTTCTCACTGCCCTATCTTGTTTTCAGGTGCAAAGTGACTTCCATTCCTCATTGGATGGCCAACGTAACCTCTACAAAAACTTCTGGCTTTTTTTTTTTTTTTTTTTGGTGGAACCAGGGCTTGAACTCGGGCCCTTATGCCTGCCAGGCAAGTGCTTATTCTACTGAGCCATCTCCCCGGCCTAAACTTCTAGCTTCTTAAGAGCTCTTCTTGTCTCTGAACTTACAGTCCCAGAGCCCAGAAGTTCAATTCCCTTTTTAGTCACTTGCTTTGAAAGTTTAGGAGAGTTGAGCCAATTAGCTAAGTATTCTACCCCTATTTCAACCCCTATCCTTGAATGCTCTTTGTTTTCAGGGTCAGACATCTTTCTTGATTAGGCTGCCTTACTCAAACTCTTACTCAGGGTATCACTATATATTTAGATTAACACTGGAAAGACTAAAATTTTCCTCCTTCAGTATTCTAGCTCTAAAATTTGGAGTGTTGGCCATGTGTGGTGGTACATGAGGCTGAGGCAGGAAGATCACTACAAGTTCACTAGTAGGCCCCTGGTCTGGCAGTACATTATCATTTCCAATCCCCAAGCTGGGCCAGCTGGTCAAGGACATGGAGATCAAGTCCTTGGAGGAAATTTCTCTCTTTTCCCTGTCCATCAAGGGGTCTGAGATGATTGACCTTTTCCTGGGTACATCTCTCAAGGGTGAAGCTCTAAAGATCATGCCCACATAGAAGCAAACTTATGCTGGCCAGCAGACTAGGTTCATGGCATTTGTCACCACTGGGGACTATAATGGTTAAGTTGGTCTGGCTGTGAAGTGCTCCAAGGAGGTAGCCCCTCCCATCCAAGGGGCCATGATCCTGGCCAAGCTTTACACTGTCTCTATGCAGAAAGGTTGATGAGGGAGCAAGAGGACAGGTCCCACACTGTACCTTGCAAGGTGACAGGCCTCTGTGGTTGTGTGTTGATGTGGCTGATCCCTGCATTGTGCCTGTAACCTGTGCCCAGGAATCTGCTGCTGCTGGCATTGATGACTGCTACATCTCTGCCAGAGCCTGCACTGCCAGTTTGGGCAACTTCATGAAGACCATCTGGGATGCCTTCTACAAGACCTACCGCTATCTGATCCCAACCTCTGGAAAGAGACTGTTCATCAAGTCTTACCAGGAATTCACTGACCATCTTGTGAAAACTCACATCTGAGTCTCCATCCAGAGTACTCAAGCTACAACAGTACCTACAACGTAGGGTTTTTGCACAAGAGAAAGTGAACAAAATGTTTGTTTTTTTTTAAATTTATTTTATGTGTGTGTGTGTGTGTGTGTGTGTGTGTCCAGCTCAGCCCACCAGGGGGCGTGGCTGGCTGGCATGTGGTGCTGGGGGATTGAACCATGGTCCCTGTGCTTTGCTAAGCTTGTTCTAAGTAGGTGCTTTAGACCACTGAGCCATCTCACCAGCCCCACAAAATGTTTTTTTAAAAAGTTTTTATCTCCTATATCCTTAAGTAGATAGCTACAGTCTTACTTTATTATATTTGAGGCACTAATCCAGATATTGGAGCTACAGTTAGATCATTCAGTGTCCCCCCTCCCCTTGTTCCTAATTAAAAGTTTCTTTGAGATAGGTTTGGTGGTTTACACCTGTAATCCCAGCATTCTGGGAGACTGAGGCAGGAGGATCACCTGCCTGAGTACTGAGTACTGAGTCTGAGTACTGATTGGGCAATTTAGAGAGTTCCTGTCTCAAAATAAAAATTAAAAAAGGGATAAGAATGTGGAATGATAGTCCTGGGTTCAATCGCCAGTACTTCAAAAAACAAAGCCCTCCCCCCTACAAAAAAAAAAAAAACCCTTACTGTGCCCAGCTAAGATCTTGTTAAATTACTGCAGCTACCGGTGCAGCTCTAAGGAGTAATCCCCTTATAGAAATCCGATGGGGATTCGTCAATGAAAAGAATGTTTCTGGGTGGAAGTCCCACCCACGTGGGAGGAGCAGAAGGCTTCTAGTAGCTTCACAGGTGAGAGGAAGCCCCCTCCCTTCTCAGAGTTAAACCTCAATTGTGGGCGGAACTGCATTCAATCTGGCACGTAGGGAAAGCGAAAGGGAACTCCGCCTTCTACGTGCTCGTGAGGGGCGGGTCGGGGGACTGGGCGTGAATTGATTGGCTAGGAGGCGGGGCGTCACGGGCGGCTCCGCCCAGGCGCTCACTAGGATCCCGGGTGGATTGACGGGTGGGATCTCCAGGCGATCCAGACGCCTGGCCATGGCGCCTCAAAGCCGCGCCCAGTCTCCCGCTTGCCATCCGGTCCTCAGCGCGCGCTCTTGACTTTGCTCACACACTGAGAACTCTGGCGGGTCAGAGGTAGCAGCGGGACGCTGCCTGCGACGAGGACCATGAGGAGCGCCCAGACCCGCGGGGCCGATAGTAGCAGCCGCCACGGCACCTGCTGAGAGAGGAGGGAGCGGCCCGGTGCGGCTCGCGCTCGCCTCGCCATGTCGCTGCTCTGCGTGCGTGGTGAGTGCGGGGACGGGGTGGGGAAGTGGGGTCGCCAAGGGGTTACCACAGGTTTCCAGTTAGCAACCAGTTTCACCGCTCCCAAACTTCACTTCGCGTCGTGCCTTGGGGGGCCAATTATGTTAATCGTTTGTAAACATTTCAAGTTTTCCACCCCCCCTTCTCCCGCCTCCGCCGAGGGACTCGTCCCTCTCTCTGTGCGGGTAGTCGTGGGACAGAGTTGTTACCTGGCAGACCTAGATCCTGGCAAAAACGGCGACTGGGTTCTCTAGTGAGAGTGGATGAGCTAGGAGAAGGCAGATGGTTTGGTACCTCCCATTCTTCTCCATGCTTAGTGGCAGGTTCTTTTCGATCAGTCTCTCTTAGTGGAAGAGCAGCCACAGGCTCTCTTGTAGTGTATTTCTTCATTTGCATCTCTCTATTGCTTGTCTTCTATCCTGCTCCTTTCCTGAACCCCAGCTTGTAGTCTAGGCGAAATTACTCTCATATTCCGCTTGGAAGGGTGTGTTGATAAACTCCCTTTGGGAGCAGAGCATAGAGGCATGATGTACTTTATTAATTATTTTAGCTTTCACCTAGTAACTCAACGTGAAGGACATTTATTGTTTTTTTTTCTCTGAGGACCTGTGACCCATCTAAGATGAAATCTTAAAGCTCAAAGTTTGGATTTTAAGATGAGGTATGATGTTTGGACCAGCCTCTCTGTGGATAGAGACTTTCTTGTTTTGTAGTATTCCCAGTGCTTGATTTAGGAGAAACTCAGTGCTGGTTTTGAATGAATGCAAGGACAGTGATTTTAGAAAGATTATCTGATCAGAAAAAGCAGTGTTTAGATTACTGGTTGAATTTGATCTTCAGAAATTCGGGTTACAGCCTATCAGATCCGTATTTAGCAAGATGGGATAAGGACAATAATGCTTGATTGTGAGAGAGCATTTATCCTCTAAACCCTCACTGGCGCTTTTTCCTGACACCTTTTACTAGATAGTTAAGAGTTCATGTTTCTTTTGGCTGTTCAGATAAGAGGCACTGTTGTTTGTGATATCTCTGATAACGGTGTTTTTCCCAGCTGCTGGCAAATGGAACTGCTTGGCCCTGTTCTCTTCCACTGTTTTGTTAAATCGGCATTAACCCAAAATGGGATTTGGTAATTTCCGGGGATTATTAGACACAGTTTTTCTTCTTTTATGGTTGATTTTTCATTAATGAGAATTTTGCTTTGGTTTTAGTAAGACATTTTCCCTGAGCAGCTGGGAGTTTATTTATTGCTTTAGATCCCTACTGCTGAGTAGCAGGATTTGGGAGAGGTTGGGTTTTGTAATGTCTTTGGACAATTTGTTAATTCTCTCCTGCCACACCATTTTACTGAGCTAGAAAGACTCTTTAGGCAAAGAGCACTTTTAAAGTAAATTCCTATTTAGCTGAATTTAAAAAACTTAAAAAGACTTTAGTTATTTTCATTTGTTTAAATACTGGCAGCTTTCCTTGTCTGGAAATACTGTCGTCTGGCTCACCTTTTCCTATTTATTTGTTGTGATTCTGAGGATTGAACCTAGGGTGTCAGGCATGCTATTCTGAGCTACATCCTATTTTTCTTTCCCTTTTAATGTTTTGAACCTAGGAGAATGGAGACCAACAGGTCCTTATCTTTTGTTTTTTTTTTTTTAAATTTATTTATTTATTTGTGTGTGTGTGTGTTTGTGTGTGTGTGGCCAGCTCAGCCCACCAGGGGGCGGGGCTGGCTAGCATGTGGTGCTGGGGGATTGAACCGCGGTCCCTGTGCTTTGCTAAGCTTGTTCTAAGTAGGTGCTTTAGACCACTGAGCCATCTCACCAGCCCCGAACAGGTCCTTATCTTTTGAATAAAGATCCTAATAATTCTAACTACTGGGGGCTAGGAAGATAGCTCAGTAGAATAAGTGCTTCCCTGGTGAGCACAAGGGCCTGAGTTCAATCCCCAGTTCCGGAAAAAAAAAAAAAAAATTAACTACTGAAGCAAGCAGTTATTCAAAGACAAAATATTCCTCCTGGCAAAACTTGCAGAAAGAGGATAAAAGGAACCTAAAACACCGTGTCTTGCCTTATTATTTGACAGTAGGAATCTTGCCAGCCAGTTGATGGTCCTTTTGTCCATTCAGATAAAGTCTTGATGTGGTAAAGCACAGTTCTGCCAGAAGCCCTGATGCCACCCTGGCACCAATTAGTGCTGGATTCTGTCCAACAACACTGCTGGCTGCTGTTACTGACACTCTGAATGTAGTCTGATAGTGATATTTTATAACGATGTATTTCAGTTCATCTTGGAGTAGAATGAGATAGTTTTTTTCATAGAGTTCAAGTAACAGTTAACTTGATGTGGAAATTGATAAACTGATACTAATTTAATCATCTCCAAATATTTATTTATTTATTTATTTATTTATTTTTGTGGTACCGGGGAGGTGAACTCAGAACCTTGTGCTTGCCAGGCAGGTGCTTAAGCTGCTGCTATCTCCCTGGACCCCCAAATATTTTTTAAATTTTTGGCAGAACCAGGGATTGAACTCAGGCCCTTGCATTTGCCAGGCAAGTGCTTATTCTACTGAGCTATCTCCCTGACCCCAAATATTTTTATTTATAACCATTTTTATTTAAAACCATTTCCTTAGTCACTCTTCAATTGTGCCTTATTGACTACAGGTTAAATGTTCTCAACATTCTGACTCCAACCCTCCTTTTTGGCTCTATATTTTCGCCTGTGTGTACACAGATACTTTGCTTCTGTACTGACTTTGTTCATTCCTGCCTTTGTTTTGTCCTGAAATTCTCTTTCCATATTTTTGGCTCATCTAAAACATATTCTTGTTGCTGGGCACATTTATGCACACCTGTAATCTCAGCTACTTGGGCTGAGGCAGAAGGACCACCAAATTCAAAACTAGCCCTGATGGCTCACACCTGTAATCCCAGCTCTCTGAGACCAATCTAGGCTACATAGTGAGTTCAAAGCTAGCCTGAATTGCATTGTGAGACCTAGTTTAAAGAAACCAAACCAAACAAAACACAAAACTAGCCCAAGCATTTTTTTTTTTTTTTTTTTTGTCAGAACTAGGGATTGAACTCAGGCCCTTGAGCTTTCCAGGCAAGCAGGCTGGGCTGGGTGTGGTGGTGTATGCCTATAATCCCAGCATTCAGGAGGCTGAGGCAGGAGAATTGTGAGTTTGATTTGTATTTTTTTTTTGGTGGAACTGGGGATTGAACTCAGGCCTTGCGCTTGTCAGGGAAGCGCTTATTCTACTGAGCTATCTCCCAGGCCCCCAAGAATTGTGAGTTTGAGATCCAGTTTGTGCTACAAAGTGAGCTTAAGGCCAACCTGAACTGCAAAGTGAGACCTTGTTGTCTAAAAAAGAAAAAAAGTGCTCAAGATGTTGCTTATTGGTTCAGTGCTTGCTTAGCAGTTCCTAAATTGAATCCTGACCCTTCTTCCTCCAAGTATTCATTCTTTTCCAATTTAAAGTGTACCTATTTGTTGTTGAAAATTTCTTCAGTTCCACAGTCTACAGAGATCTCATCTTTAAACTCATAGAACACTTGTGGTCTGAACAATGCTATTAATTTAGCAATAAATCATATTGACTTGCACATAAATCAAATTGTTATGCTTATGGGACCCAGGCAGAGGAGGCACTAGCACCAGCCAGATCAGATCTGATCTGGAATTATGGTAAACTGGGTATTTCCTTTTTTTTATTTTTTTTATTTTTTAAATTTTTTTAAAATTTTTTTTTATTTATTATTTGAGAGAGAGAGAGAGAGAGAGAGAGAGAGTGTGTGTGTGTGTGTGTGTGTGTGTGGTGTGTGTGTGTGGCCCGCTCAGCCCACCAGGGGGCGGGGCCGGCTGGAATGTGGTGCTGGGGGATTGAACCGCGGTCCCTGATGCCTTGCCAAGCTTGTTCTAAGTAGGTGCTTTAGACCACTGAGCCATCTCTCCAGCCCCTGGGTATTTCCTTTTAAGAGGTACATTGAGACCTAGGATTAGTCTTGGAGAAAATTTATTTTTTGAAGAAAATAGACTAACGGAGGCTATAGAAACCTTTTGAAGAACATGGGAAGTTTAGTTATGAGAATGTTAAGAGGGAGAAGATCATAAATAGTAGATGAAAAGAACCTAAAAGGGTTCAATCCCTGGCACCACATGCTTCATGGGCCCTGTCCCTGGCGGCAGGTGCCCTGAGCCAGAGCCAGCCATCAAGATCAGATGTGGTGGTGCAGGCCTGCATCCCACAGCTGGGGAGGCTGAAAACAGGAGAATCACTATGAGTCTAAGCTGTGTAGAAAAGAGCTTAGCAAAACAGTTGCTGTCTTACTTTCCTGTTGCTGGAACAAAATATGTGGTACCCACAACTGAAAGGAGGCGAGGTTTTGGCTTGTGGCTTGAGTGCGTGGTCAGCTGGCTCCAAAGCAGAAACAGGATGGTGGCCAGGAAGGAGTGCCGAGGGAGGCACCCTGGAGGGAGAGAGCCCCTTACTGGTTACATCCCCAGTGACCTGACTCTTTGGACCAGGCTCCACTTCCTAACAGAATGTTCAGCTATGAGTGCATCACTAAATCAAATCCACTGATGAGTATTTCACCCCCAGTATCCAGTCACTTTCCCAAAGCTCAGCCTCTGAACCCATGAGACTTCTGGGGGGCATTCTAGATCTAAACCATAATAGTGATGTTGTCATGTCCTTACTCCAGAGGGTAAAAGTGAGACAGGTGGACTAATGGTTTAAAATGATAGGAAGTTGGATTTTAGCTTATTATAAAGAAGAATTAGTTTGTTTGTGATAGGGTCTCACTATGTAATTCAGGTTGCTTTTGAACTCAGTGATCCTCCTGCCTCAGCTTTTTGAGTGCTGGGGTTACAGGTGTGGGCCACTCTACCTTGTTGTAAAAATGAATCCAAACAGTTAGAGTTCTTAATGAATGTCATAGCCAGACTATTTACGAGAATTTTTTTGACACTGTAAGCAGATG